AAAAAAAAAAAAAAAAAAAAAAAAAAAAAAAAAAAAAAAAAAAAAGAACATGGGAGGATGGCCGGCTAGTGCGGGTGATTAGAGGGTGGGGCTAGTAATACTAAGGTCCAGAGTTCAATCCCTGTACCAGCCAGCCACCAAAAATAAACAAATAAATTAATTAAATTAAACAAAATTAAAAAACAAAATAAATAAAAAAAGAACATGGGATTGTTACAGCTAAACAAATATCGAAACAAAGCTTAAGGAACATCAACAAAATGCAATGTATGAGCCCTATTTGGGATACTGTAAAAAGACACTTCTGATAACCTGGGAACAATGAATATGAACTAGGAAGAGATAACAGAGGAATCCAATAAACACTGAGGTATTCACTGGGGAAATGATATGATGTGTGGGATTTCCTTTAAAATCTCTAGCTCCACCCTACCCCTGCCAAAAGAATGACCATGAACTGAAAATTGTTAGAGGTGGGTGACAGCTACAGGGGAGATTGCAGTGTTTTTCTGTGCATGCTTGAAGACATCAGCAATAAAAACATTTAAAAACTAAAACAAAAATAAAACCATGATTCTTAAGATGCAGTTTGAAATCAGATAACTACAGCACCTGTATGTGAAGCATTTCAAAGGAGTTTATGACATTACAGTACTGAATCTATTTGACTTGAAAATCTAAACTCTCTCCATGGGATAGCTTTAAAGCTGCATTCGCCTGGAAGTGGACTGCTGGATTTGGACCAAGTGTTGGGTCATATGACTCTGTTGTCCCTAGACTGTTTGGGGTGTGAGGGGGGAAGAGGGATGAATAAAGTAGGAGAGGAACAAGCCAATACATGTGTATAAAAAAAAATAAATAAAAGTAAAACCACATAAAACAAAACCACATGCAACTCAACACAAGAACATGACACCAGGACACAAATCCAATTTTCTTTTTTTTTTTTTGTCTTTTTTGTGACCGGTAAGGGGATCGCAACCCTTGGCTTGGTGTCGCCCGCACCGCGCTCAGCCAGTGAGCGTACCAGCCAGTCCCATATAGGATCTGAACCCATGGCGGAAGCGCCGCTGCGCTCCCAGCGCTATACTCTCCTGAGTGCGCCACGGGGCCGGCCCCACAAATCCAATTTTCAAAGAGCTAGAAGATCAAACTAAGCATTGCATTATATTTTGCTGAATGTTAAAATTATATAAATGTACTATTGTTGCCACTAAATGTTAAGAAGCCAGTTTTTCAAATCTAGTCACAGGCTACACATATGACAGAATCAATCCAAATAAACAAACTTAAAAGTTACAATTTCAAAAGTCATAGTGTCATGATAAAGATCACAAGCACACGTACAAATTCTTAACCACAAGCCCAGCAGCGGGTATAAGTCACATGACACAGGTCTAAGCTTCTTTCACCCACCTTGAGCAATTGCAGCAAGTTTTCCTTTTTCTTCAGGGCTGAGCTGCAACATTGTATCTATAACAGGAAGGAGCCTCTCTCTTTCACTACCTGGTTTTAGGAAAATGAACTGTAGCAGGACATTCTTCAAGTATTCCAAGTTAGCTACAGACTTTTCTCGCTCTTGATTTCTTTCCAATCTTCTTATTTCACTTTTGAGAAGCTGGTGTTGAAGAAATAAGTCAAAAACAGGGTTTAGAAACTTCTGGTTAAACATGACAGACTAAACACGTGCATTTTTCTTCTCTTCTCTCTTAATCCCCTCTACCCCCATCATCAATGACAACAAAGGAGGAAGTAGGAGAAGAAAGAAGAGATGAGAGATATCAAGAAATTCCAAGACAACAGGAAGCAAATGAGGTGGAAGTGACTCAGTGCAGCAGCACAGCAGGTACCACTGACAAGAGAAGAGGGTGCATCCTGTGCAAGTATCCAGAGGCTCCTGCCTCAGAAGCCTGGGGTACCACAGAAACTTGGGGCTGAATGCTGGGGGACTGATGGAAAGTCTAGACAAGGAGCAACTGGAGCCACAGGCTGGCACCATGATATTTCCTTGACCTTCATCTCTCTATAGAAACTGACTCAGTGGGACTTGGGGCTCTGGGATAAGGGACACACTGTGAGGACGGTCTGAAAATAGGGGCTGAAGTGAACATCTGTAGCCTTCATTAACCCCTGCCTCTGCCCTGCTCCCAGAGCTCCAGGCAGTTAAAATGTCCACAGTGAACAGCACTTAACCAAAACAAGAGTTGAGCTCAGGGTACAGTGAAAGTTCAGGAACATAAGACAATATAAAATACTACCAGAAAAATGGGCCAAACTGTCGTAGGATGTTAGAGTCTCTGATGAAGATTTCTGGGTTGAAACAAAGCTGTAGCTTTTGTTATATTTTCATCATTTTATGTTAGTCCAGGAAAGTTAGCTCTTTCCTAAAACTTAGGGTCATTTTGAAAAGTGACAATTAAGTCTAAGAAACCATGTATGTGAGCATAAAGTTGTGGAAATATATCATCTAAATAAGTCACTTAGGTTCAATGGGATAGTCAGTGAGTTGTTACATGTGATGTTTTGACTAGTGGGAAAATGTTATTTTATATGGTTGCATACTGAAGTATTTAGTGGTGGGATGTCATGACATATACTGTAAATAACTGAGTAATTCTGCATTAAAAAATTAATTTGACAAGGACAGCTAGTGGCCCTGCAGAGGCAGGACGGATCTGTTTGCAGCAGCAAGTGCAGGGGCAAAAAGCATGTGCTTTTCAGACAAACATGAGTTTGAATTTTGCTCCACCATTTACCAGTTTCAATTTTTCTCTCATGCAGTGATTATGAGGATTAAATAAGATAATATACATAAAGCCCAGGGCCCAGTTCTTAAGAACTGCTCAATAAGTAGTGTGACTGTGCCCTGACAGGTGATTTATCACTGAGCCAGGGTAGAAATGTGTCATTTGAGCAATCCTCAGCTGCGCCACTACATCCCTAGCTGTTCCTGGTGTCGACTTTCAACAGGAAAAACTTCCCATGCCACTTTGCCGTCTCCACCTACAAACTGCATTGGGTAGTTCAGTGCTACAAGCATGAGCTGAAGGATCTGAACTAGAAATGTTCCACTGTTTATCTTAAGAATTTAAGGACCCATACCTATTTTTTATTTAAGTATAGGTGGAACAATGACTTGTGAACATCTCTCTTATTTCTAAATCTATTATGGTTTCTTAGTAAAAGGAGGAATTAGGGCTGGCCAGTTATCTCACTTGATTATAGCACAGCCTCATAACACCAAGGTCAAAGGTTCAGATCCCTGAATTGGCCAGCTGCCAAAAAAAAAAGGGAATAGAAACAGTTTTTATATAATAAATATGAAAGAAATTAATATTTCTCTCTGTCAAGAATCGAACATAAAGAATCAAGATCTCAGGATGCATCTGAAATGTGAATTTTTTAACTGGGGTGCATGTGTATGGAGGGTCAAGAAAACAGAATTGGTGCAGGGTATCTTCAAAGCGGCCAGGTTTTCTGACCTCACCTTAACTTGCTCCATAAGGATTGCATTGGTTGCCTCCGTTTCCCGAAGCAGGAGGTTCAAGTGATCCACACTTTTTGTGGTTGAACTGAGCTTCTGAACCAATTCTTCTTTGGTAAATTCAGTATGCCACAAAGGAGGCTCTGCAAGATATTGTTCTAAGAATTAATTTTCAAAATCAGAGATTACAGATCGATTCTAAATAACAAAAATACCTAATTTTTAAATGTCTTAGTGATCCTGTATAGGTCCACTGCCTTTGCCACTCATCTACTCAATATACCTCAATTAAAAGGTTACATGTTGAATGTAACAAATATAATAAAGAATCTCTGTTATAAAGCATTTAACCTAATTGAATACAAGCCCTATGATCCCAATGCTGAAATTTGTCAGGCTTGCATATTTAGACCATTCTATTAGTTTCATTAACACATCCTCTTCCCATCTTTAGTGTTCCAAGAACTTATGAAGCATTAACATTTACTCATCACTTATATCGTGGACCCTCATAAGAATCTTCTATGAGGTAGGGTAGATACCATTACTCAAATTTTACAGATGAGGGAACAGGCTCAGAGTTGATAAGTAATTTTGGCAAATATCACACAGCTAAGTCTGAATCTGCAGTCTGCTGCTGCTCTATCGTGATGCCTCTGTGGCACCACTAGACTTTGCCTGAAGGACCATGACTTGCAGTTTCCATCCCACATGGTCATCCACCATGGACTCAAATGGTTCTTACTCCAGGTGATCCTGAAACTTCAGAAAAACGACAGATCCCCCCTGAATTATGAACGGTAATATTCATTACAGGTGAGAATAAAATATACCAAAACTTTATTTAATAAGGCACATTTAGCATTACTTCATCAAGAGAAATAAACTGAAACTGTCCTGGAAGGATGAGGGAATAGTTTATCCTACTTTCTATCTAATACCACTAGAGAACTTCCAACCATCAACTTCTGGCTCAAACCTAGGGCAGAGCTAACATTTTGTTTTAAAAAGGATTTGCTTCATACTGCAGGAAAGTTTTCCATTTCAACAGGTGATGGAATATTGAAAGAAACTTTACTGGAGTGGCTCAAAGAAGCAAATATAATTTATTAATTAAACAAGACAACAAAATTAAATAAGAAAAACGTATTTAGAGAGTAACATACCAAGTTTAGTTTCAGGAGAATTAAGAAGCTGCTCTAAAGACTGTGTGTGCGTGCTGGCAGAAGACACAGATTCAGTGTCAGTTGTCTCCATCCCTTCTCCCTCTTCACGGGTTACAGCGTGCATGTCCAAAAGTGGGAGGTCTGTGTTTCTTCTTTCTCGAAGGTTCTTCAAAGGTTGGTGGGAAGAAGCTGGACCTATTAAAATTTTTTTTAAAGGGTAGGTACTGTTCAGAATCGATAGATTCAGCCTTAACAAAGATACACAATAAAATTAAAATGATCCGGAGTATGGTGAATGATAACTTAGAGAAATTAAATAACTAGAAGACAAGTAAATGGTGTATCAAGAAAGAATTGCTAAAACAATCCTAAAAATTTAGTCATTGAACTTTTAAACACTTTAGTCCTTTCAGCAGAAGCTATACATTAATTGCTACTAGCTAGCTAAGATAAACTGTTAGATAACACAAAGCTCACAATATAGTACTACTTATTTTTATTATTAATTTAAGGTAGAGGATTATATTGCTGCTAAACATGGTAGAAATTCTAAAACTAGACTCTAGCCATTCTGGTGAATTATGTGTTTCAGATTGCTGCATATTTTCTAGCACAACACACTTGCTTCGAGTCTGCTCAGTGGACATCCTCCATCACGGCCCGTACACCTTCTGCTGGATCCTAACACTGCCCACTCACACCAACAGCGCTCATCGACAGGAAGAGCCCAGCATTCAGCACAAGTAACTAATCGATCACATTACTGGGCAAAGCTTTCCTGTTTGCTGACACAGAACTGTAAAGTTTATAAAAACACTTTCAAATACATTACTGATCTGAAGAAATCTGAAGTGCAGAGAAATCTACTGACTCTGCCCAAGGTGTCATAGCTGAGTTAGGTACCAGAATTCTAACCCAGATTTTTAAACTTCAAATTTCATTTATTTTCCATTTTATGAAGTTCCTCCCCTGTTCTTTCAAACCTTAGTTAGCCTTCCTGATTGCCCTTCCTGGGTTTCTGACAGTTTGCTAACTGCTTATTCCACTGCTGATTCCTCAATTACAATCTCTTGTGCAACTTGTTTTTCCCCAGCTGATTTTTGGTGACTCTTGGCATATGTTAAATTCTCTTGAAGTTGTTTTCTGACTTTGACAAGTGACTCATACTTCGGTTGTTCAGTGAAGATGTCCAGTGATATTGGTGTGGTTGAACTAAAACTCTAACTAGTCAGAAATCTGAAAGGGAAAAAGCTGTATTGGCCAAGCAATTCTACAAGTTCAGTGCTACTTGAGTGTGTTTAAGCCCCTTACTTTATCTCTAATGTTTCTACTTAAAAAAACAGATACATTTGATTACTAACCACGGAGAATACCAAACAGATCCAGTGAATACCAGAATTAGGATGTATGTTATGAGACTAACAGAGTTCTTTTTAAGAGAAAAAGGAATACTCCTTTACAGGGAGGGTAATAAATATACAAAAATCAGTATGGTAAGAGGTTATAAAGGCTGCTGTAAGTATAATCAAGAAGGTTCAGGACTGGCTGGATAGCTCAGCGGGTTAGAGTGTGGTGCTGAGGGTTTGATCCCTGTATCAGCCAGCCACCCCCACAAACACACACTCACACACAAAATGAAGGGTTCAAAATAGTTCAAATATTTTTCCAGTAAGCAAATTCAAAATTCATTAGTTATAGAACTGACATTGACTGACACCTAGTAAATTGTCTACTTTCTTATGAATTTGTGAAAGAATGTATTCAAGAGATATAAATACATGAAGAACTAATATTTCCGTGGGTACATACATACTTCTTGTGGTTGGTTCATTCTTAAGCTGGAAGAGCTGAACTTCAACCTTTGAGAGCTGCTGCTGTAAAGTCTCAACTGTCTTTCTGTGTTCTTCCTGCAAATGTCGCACTTGATCTCGGAAGCTGTTGCGAAGGACCTCATTCTGAGAGGTTAGCTGACTCACAGTCTGTGTGTGCTCAGACTTCATCACCATGTTCTCTGATCGCATTGAACACAACCTGAAGGGTGAGCAGAACTTAGTTCATATAACATATTTCAACTTTATCTGCTGACTCAGATTTTCTCAGCTGGGTCCTGCAAGAGAATTAGCCCTAAGACATTTACTGAATGTATGAATCAACTTCTCTCCTATGCATCCATAAGATACTAGTTGTGTAACAGCCTGGGGAGAACTGACATGGGCTGTTATCAAATTGTTTTCTGTGTTCCACAGTTTTGATGAACCTCAGTTGAGAAACTGTTGTGTGATTCAGAGGAGGAACTTCTATCATGGTTCCTCAGAAAATAAGACTATATTTAGAGCATAAAATAATTATACTTTTAATTAGTCCAGTTCTTCAGGTCTGGAGAAGTATCTGGAGAGGTACCACTTATGTGGTAGCTCACATAATTGTAAGATTAATCTATCTTTTTTCTCTATTACTCTGAAAACATGAAAAAGAACACTTTTATTTCATAAAAAAGTCTTAAAGGAAAGTACCCATTTTTGTCAATTAACATGAAAAACTTAAACACAAAGACTTGGTTTATTATAACTATTTCCAAATCTGCTGCATACTGGAATCGCTGGGGCATTTAGTGTTCATGTTACAGCCACTGAATTAGAATCTCCAGTGGTGGTCCTAGGAACTGTGACTTTTATGTAGTCAACATGACACTAGCTGGTGGACCTACAGTTTGAGAACCACTACATTTAATGGTTTACTTGTAGTTTTGGCACTTTATATATTTGGTTTTGGTTAAAAAAAAATAACACATGTCCTTTTTACACGAGGGATCCATAAGTCCTATCATAAAAATTCAAACAATACGGAAGCAGTTAGAGAAAAAAGTGAAAGCCCCCCCCGCCCTTACTCTCTCCCATCCCTGGCAGCATAAAACCCCAATTCCAGAGATAAACAAACATTTTAACAGTTTGCTGTGTAACTTCCTAAGATATTTTTTCAACCCATAACAGATATGCACACCACATAAGGTTTAAAATAGGATTTAGTGGCTGAAGGGAGAAATCCAATAAAAATATCTTAGGTTTTAGAAAGGTATCTTTATTGCCAAGTTCTTATTGATTAATGGGTCTAGAGAATGTTAGTGTGTATACATTTTTCTGCAAATGTTTTGTTCAAACAATATCTACAAAGAAAGTAAAGGAAGAATCATTGGCAGTCACAACAATTTTCTAAGGAGGCTAAAAGTTACACTTTAGAGCTAGGGTAAGGCTTCTAGTTTTCAGGCAATATCAATGACACTTCTGAATTTACCTCCTTGAAAGCTAGATGCCTGAACCCTCCCATCTGGAATAGGAATGACTGTGCTGATAAAAGTTCACTGTTCTGTCCCAGTGGTTAATGGGGTATTTACATAAGCTGAGCACTCTGGGTAATGCGGATATTAACTGCTTGGCCTGATTATCACATTTCTCTGGACCCATTTTTACAATCTCATACAGAGAAAGTGTGAATATCAAAACATTTTTAAAAGTAGAGAATATATAAAGAAAAGGCTATTTTTCATATTAGGGCATAGATAGTAACAATACCATTAGTTTTTAATATTTCTGAATAAGAGTCCTAAAAACCTAAAATGCTGTGAACAGTTTCTCGTACTTAGAAGAGTGACTGGCACACAGTAAGTGCACAAAAAATAATTTACTGAATGACTGAATTACTTTAGAGGTATCAATTGTACTTTACTTGTTTTACCAATTTAATTTGCAATAACTTTTATGGAGTAAAGAATAAGTGTTGCAAATTTCTGATGTAAATATCAAGTAAGCATCACTACATATAAGCTAATCTCATGGTAAAAAATTGGTAGATCTTTCCTGAAACTTTTGGTTTACATGATTAATATATACATTGCACTGTTAAAGACAGTGTAAGCCAAGAAAATCCAAGTGTTTTCACTTTTCAGGTTGGCATAAGATTAAATATATAAGTGTACCTGAGATGTATAAAGTATCTTAATACCCTTGATGAAAAGAATTCAGTGAAGAATTCTTTTCCTCAGTGTGAACTACAACTCATATTACCACCCAATTTCCTCATTACAGAAGTTCAAAGTTTCTCGTTCCTAATAATCTATTCTGCTGATAGTCCTAATGTCTATTTAAACTATTGTAATGATTAACAAAATCTGACAAGTCAAAGACAGAGCTGTAAAGATAAGTTGTATATTGTTTTTCAGTCAGCAGCTATTAGAATGTTTTCCCCTAGAGGAAGAAAAATGCTTATAGTTTGACACCTGGGTTGGAAAGTAGAGTTTTTTTGTTTTGTTTTTTTAAAGAAACATCCTGGAGATATAGAATATTAGATGAGCAGGTAAACATTAAAGTTTAAGTGTGTTCTTAAAAACGCTAAATATAAATGCAATCCAAAGGGGAAGCTTTAAGGTACGCAAAGCAAAGGTGCCAAGCATTTAGAAATGTCTATTTCTTATGTTCAAATCTGTATTTATCCCAAGGAGCAACACATCCGGAGTCCAACAAAGAATACACAGCTGCCTGGTACAAACAGGGCTAGTGCTGCCAGCAGGCTTACCTTTCCCGGAGTTCTGCCTCTTTGGACACAGTTTCCTGCAGCATCTTGTTGTGCCTTTCTAGCAGAGTGTCATGTTCACACTGTAATGTGTGAAGTTCAGATACACTGATCTGTAAGTTATTTTGGCTATCTTGTAATTTGATTTTTAGTTGGTCAATCAGCATTTCCAGGTGTTCCCTAAAAGAGAAATAAATACTTAAAAAAAATTTGGGGAAAGATTTTGTGTTTTCAAATGCATTTCAATTATTTAATCTTTCAATGTCATACTCTTGCTATTAATATGGATGATTCTGAAGGAAATATAATAATCAGAAGAATTCAGAGACAAAGATTGAATATAAACCAGTAAAAAAAACAAACAAAAACAAAACATAAAAAGACTGAATACAATACAAAACATGTTACAGTCAGATTTTAAATCTCAGGCACTACAGATTTACAAAAAAGGTCTCCATTTTTAATTTCACATTCTAATGGAGTAGACCATTACATGGCATCAAAATGGCCTATTTTATGTTATAGGACTATGTCATTAAGGTCATTAGTTAAAAAAAAAAAATCACACAGTTCTAAGTGAACTGTTATGAGAATGGTTATGTTATAGTGAATGACAATCCCCAAAGAAAAGCAGGAGGTCTTTTTTAGACTTAGAAAAAAAACTAGGTAGAAACAAACAGTTAAAATCCATAATTCTGCCACAACTAGTGTAATACACTATTAGTTTCTTTTTTAAAAAATGTACTTAATGTATAAGAAAGCAGGAAGAACTTAAAGTATTCACATTCAAATGATTTGATCCCCAAATTGAGGTATGGTCAAATGGGCACTTGCAAATAGTGACATTTTTTATACTTGTTGTGTCTCAATATTCAATATTTGCTATTAATAGAGAAAATACCTCATCATATTTCAGCCTACAGTCCCTAGACTTAATAGATTCCTAAACAAAAACAGAAGCATAAACATATAAACACTGCAGGATAATCAGTCCTGCTTAGAACAGTAAGGCCCAAACATAAAATTGCTTTCAATACCAAATCTCTCCTTATAAAAACAAAATACACACACCACAGAATGCCCTATCTATATCTCGTTTGCGGGATACTTTTGGGTAATTTACCAAAGAGATCTATAGGCTAGTTTTAGAGTAGCATTAAACAACACACTTAATTTAAAACTTTTTGAAATAAATAAAATATTTTTCAGCAACTTCTGTTTAATCTAATTAATGGCAAATAAGTATACTGAAAAATCATTTTTATTCTTTTATGTTTAAATTTTCACAATTGAAAAAACCAATCATAATGTAATTTTAGTGCATGTATTTCTTAGCCTACATCTCAGTAACATATCCTGGCTTCACTGCTCACTTTATCATCTTTTGGAGCTTTCAATAGTTACCTTTGTAGTGAAGCTTCCCTGTGACTGCCTGGAGACACTGTGAAGCCAAGAAACTCTGTTCTCATTGAGAGTTACACATAAAATTCCACAGTCAAAAGAAATTAAAATAGGATTTTCAACCATGCAGGTTTCTTTTAATTTAGATTTTACCTTTCTTGTTTAGCTCCCTCAGTTTCAGCCTGAGACACAGATTTATTCTTCTGTTGTTTTAGAACATTATGAACTCGGATTTTGTAGCTCTCAAATTCAGACGTTATCGCAGCTTGTTCTGCCTATGACATTTAAAAGAGAGAGAAAAAATTTTTCATTGTAATGTGATCCTATTTTTTTTCAGAGATTAACAAATTGAGATGAATACCTGTTTTTTAAAATGGGAAAAATCGCTGACATTTTTAGCCCCCGATTAACTTTGCTAAAATGTACACTTATGCTGGCCTAACATTTTGTTAAAGCCTTTGAATGATATAGTTTTGTCTGACAAGAGACATGTTTCTACCATGTTTTCTACCCTGGTAGATTAATTTCCTATCCATAAATTTTATAATGGCACTATCCGCTTTTGGAACTTTATAAAGATGTTCATTTATGATATCCCCTCTTATAAATATGAGAAAAATTTAACTCAAAGAAATTTAGTTACTGGAACATCAGTTTTCAAAATAGAGTGGTAAAAGTTAAATGCTACATCTTCCACTTCCCTGAAGTGATCGCAAACTCCCACAACACTTTTGCCAAGATCACTTAGATAAGAGCTGTGCCTCTAACAAAATGACTGTACTGTGTGTTGATGTCGAGGACAAGAAGGTAGGCCCCCACAGTCATGCTATGAGAATGTTACTTTATAATAAGAACTGTACGACTTCTAATAAAAAAGGTTTACAATTAAGTGACTTTCTTACACACATAAACTGCAAAACAAAGTTGAAACGAAAACATGTGCTCATGTTTTTCCTTTTAGCAAAAAAAGTTATCCAAGTGATAGTTAGGGTTGGTATGGAGTTGGGGTTAAAATCAGATGAACTGAACCAGGTGTTCATCTAATAAGTAAGTGCTATTAATAACCACAAAACCCTAAAAAGGGAGAAGGCAGTCCTGGTGTAAATGCTTGCTAGCTGATAATAAAATCCTTCGGGCCCTGAAGAACACACCTTGGCAGCACGGCTCTCTTCCTGGAGCACCGTCACTCTCTGTTGGTAAGTGCTCAGCGTGCGCTGGTGCTGTTCTGCAGAGGTCTTCAGGTGCTCATGAATTTTGTGTTTCTCAGATGTTATTTCAGCCAGCTGAATCTGTGGGACAAAAATCATTAAATTTGGCCCCAGTAAATCAGATCTTTACTGGTTAAAGAGATTTTCCTTAAAACACAAACTGAGGTTTGACACCTACATTTGTATAAAGGACATAATTAAATAGTGGAATATTCTCACGTGTTATTATTGGAGGAGCAGAGATAATATGAGTGAACATTTTCTCACTAAAATAAGTTACCTTACTTTTTCTTAAACAACATTAATCAAAAAATCAGTCATGAAAAAAATCCCAGACTACATATTCCATGTTTAATGTTTGTTTGAATACCTCGAGACATTATATATGACATATATATAAATATAATAAACATATAAAAACATTTTATAACCTGTTTCTTGTGACTACATATCATACAGAAAGTTCAGATGCAGGTTTGGAGCCATGTTTATTTTATTTGGCACTATTTGAGTAAGTGTGTAAGCAGATTTCCAAACACATGAAGATAATCTAGGCTGAGTTACGTAGCACACTCCAGTTACATGCTTCACTTACCACTTTCTCAAAATGTGGCAGAATCTTTCTAAACATCCTTATAGGATATATCCTCATAAGATAATTAGAAAAATCCCTAAATACGGTATCTTACTTCTATATGGAAAAATTTTTGTTTAAATTTTAAAAAGGAAAAAGAACCTTACTTTATAGACTTCTACTTGCTGCTGGCTTGCCTCCAGCTCGCCATTTAATGATGCTTGAAGTATTAAGTGGTCAGTTTCCTAAAAATGAGAATCTTGGTTAAATTAAAAAAAAAATTTATTCATAAACAAACTATGAATAAATACTAAAATATGAAACTGAGGAAATAACATACTGCTTGCTTTGAATCTGCCAGTTCTTTTTTGGTTTTCACAAGCAACTGCTTGATTTTGGTGTTTTTTTCTTCGTACTGTTGCACTGAAGACTGCAGTGAAGCTAGTACAAGAAATAATTTTAGCAGAAAGAGATGAAACAATTTTTATGAGTTAATTTACATGTACAATTGCCGAGTTTTTTCTTTGTGTTAGCTTACCTTTTAAAGAAACTTGTTTTAGCTTTTTATTATGGAATATTTCAAACATATATGACAGTAGTGACAAGATTCCACTCCACTCCACTGCAGCCATCACTCAGCTTTAATCATCACCAACCACAGACAATCTTATTTCACCCAGACCGGGAGTCAGCAAAGTATGGCCTGCAGGCTATTTCTATAAATATGGTTTTACTAGAACACAGCTAAGCTCATTCATCTATGTATTGTCTACGGCTGCATTAGTGCTACAATGGTAGAAGTGAATAATCACAACAGACACTGTGTGGTACGAAAAGCCCAAAATATTTACTATCTGAACGCTTTATTAAAAAAAAAGTTCATCCATACCTGACCCGTATCCTCATCCACTCCCTGAGCCCCCACAAAACTATTTTGAAGCAAATCCATTCATCTGTAAATATTCCAGTATATATCTCTAAAATAAAGGTATGGCTATATTTACTCTATTTCTAAAAGATCAGGTCTCTACTTTTAAAAAGTTTCTCACAGGTGGTACTGTGTGTTTCCAACTGCATTATATCAGAGGCACATATCCAGTCATCTGTTTTTGTGATAGTAATTCAGGTGTAATAATTTTTTTGTAGGAAGAATTGTTAATGAAAAATAGCTTACTAAGGAACAAACAGAAACATGATAAAGACAAAAACCTTTTATGTTAACAGAGGTAAAGAAGAAACAAATATTAAATAGGAATAAGTGAACTCATTTTCTAGACCACAGGTAGGCCACTATAACTAGCAATCCAAATCTGGCTGCAGTCTGTTGTTAAACCAACCAAGAATATATGACAGAGACCATATGGTTTGTGAAGCCACAGAGATTTACTATTTGATCCTTTACAGAAAAAGTGTGCTTGAGTCCTGGTCTAGACCAGTTATATGTGTGCTATGTAACTGTGCTGCTGAAAGGTCTTATAAGCAATGATTAACTTTATAAAGTTAAATTCACACACAGATTATACCATTTGGTAAATACAAACAAACTTCAGTTACTTCCTGGCAACTATTTACCTAGTTCTAAAAAGCATTTTATAAGGCACAAATTACATATGAAGACTTGCTAGGTGTTCCAGTAGTTATGATAAGCAAGATCCAAGTTTCTGAGATCAAAGAATATAGAACGTAACTAGGGGATAACATTTTACAAGATAATGTAAAGCAAAATATGTTAAAAAAGAAATACAAAATGCTATGGGGATCCATACTGTTAAAGGTCATATACACTTCACATGGAACAACAAGGGAGATTTCATCAAACAGGAAGCACTGAGGATGAGGAAGGAGTCCAAAGGGCAAGCACAGGGAATGGGAGGGTGAGGCGAGAAAGGAAGCACAGCAGCAGGTGAAATACACACTTGTGGAAAAGCACACATCACGTCTCAGGAAAGATCAGTAGCCTTCTTTACCTGTGAGAGGGTGGTGAGAATTCAGTTGAAAAGTCAGACTGGGGCCAGACGATGGAGGGGTTCAGGAGTAAGAAGATGTGAGTACATAGTACATTAGGCAAAGTGAGCCAACCCAATTTTTGTTTGCATTGAACACTGCCCTGATGCCTCCTCTTCTTCCTACTCTGTCAACTCTTCAGCCTGCCTTCCCAGGCCTCTGTTGCCAGGAGGCTGGGCACTTTCCAGATTCTGCACCCTTCTAATTAATCTGACACACTAGACAGTAATCTTTCCCATTGTCTTTAAAAATCAATCAATCTGGTATTTAGGCCTTTCATGAATTGGACCAAAAATACCTTTTAAATTTTACTTTACTTCTCCCTAACACTCTAAAGAGTGTCAAGCCTTTCACTCTTACTGGTCAAAACTTCCAAAATAATATTTCTCTCAGTTTTTCCTCACATCACAGATGCAGAAAGGAATGTTCTTTTCCAATCCTCATTTTCCTTCTAAACCTTACCTTCAAGGCTCAACTCAACCTCAACATTTAATTGTTCCAGTCTATAGCACTTTCTCCTCTCTAAACTCTTAGCAATCATTGCCTGTACCACTTATTTCTATACTTTTACATCTGTTAGAAGTGAGTGGCCTTTTTGGATAAGCACATCCTTGCAGTTTTTCCAAGGTATCAAGCCTATCTCTGAGCTGACTGTCAGAAATATATAGATTCACTAATCCAAAACCAAATGTTTGCACTGCAGAAACATAAGCTAGTGCTGTGCTACTCAATCTGCATCAAGAACTTAATTGGAAGATATGGAACGTGCATAGTGAATTATCTGGAAACTATACAATCCATTCAGTTGTCTGATATTCTAAACTTTATCCCTCCATACAGGCAGATAATCAGAATTCTGTACACTTGGACTTTATGTCTTTGTTTACTCAGGAAATCACTGCTCTTGAGCCGTGACGTGGCCACTGGCCGATAATGAAGTGTGCACTGTAAAACAGCCTGGAAGATTTTCTATTTAATTATCTGCAGGAATGCTGCTGAGAATACTAGTACAACTTACCAGTGGTTCTTAAACTAGCATTAACCTCAAAATCACATATGAAGCTTTTGAAAACACAGACTTCAAGGCCCTACAATCTAAGATTCTGATTCACTGCATCTGCGAATGGACTTGCCCAAAGCTCTCCAGGTATTTCATAGTGTTCCCATTATACAAATGTCTAAAATAATGCTTCCTTACACATCCTAGTAGCAGAAAAAGCTGTGTTTCTCACAAGCATCATACTTGCTCTATTACTGTAGATACTATAAACCTTGTAACTGGCGATGTTTCTGTCTTTGCTCTTGTTCCTGGGAAGCTCAAAGCCAAATTTATGAGAGATCATAGTGACAGCAGAAGCACACAGCACATACACTTTATGTCTTGATCTTCTATCTGACTTATTGTATAATCCATCTTCAACATTTCCTTTTTTACCATTTCTTCATCATTTATATATCTAAAATCTTGTTCTATGGTAATCTCTTTGTAGCCACCTCATATTATTTTATGGAACTTCTGCTTCCAGCAATGAGGGAATAACAGGGTCTTATCTTCCTTTTATAAACAACTAGAAACCTGAACAAAATATGCATATATATTTTACTGACATTGGACATTAAGCAGTGCAGGACCATGATCTCTGAGATGAAATAAACAAACAAGGTGAGACCTGTTATTGTCATGGCTTTCTGCCTAGATGGAATTTCTAGACTATGGTGCTGGGATGGGAATCCCAGACAGAGCTAGGGGGTCTTACTGAGATGCGAAGAACTGCTTGAGAAAGAACAATCAATAGGAGTTGCAATGTGAATGATTACCAAAGCTCACACAGAGCTATAAGTAATTCAAATTCCCACCAGCCGGAGTAAAGAGACTTTGTCGAGTACATAGGCACCTAAGACACCCTCTGAAGATCCCCACCTTATTAGTGGGGCTGAACTAGACCTGTAAGAAAGGCTACTCTAAACTTGTCCTAAAAATTATAAAAAACAACTTAAAAAGGGTAAAACTGATTGGCAAATTACTTGACTGTCAAAATTTAACTCTTTCAATACAAACATATCTACCATTCAACAATAAAAAATTCACATCTAATTAACAAATTATTTTCCATGCAAAGAAGCAGATGAGTATGACTTACAACGAGGAAAAAAAAAAACCTATCAACAGAAATAGACACATAAATTACAGAAATGATCACCTTAGCAAACAAGGGCACTAAAACAGCTATTAAATATGCTCAAGGATTTAAAGGAAAATAGCATAATGAAGAGAGAAATAAAAAAATATATAACAAAAAACCAGATGGAATACTGTGGATTGATCGTCCCCCACAAAACTAATTGAAGATTGTTAATCTCCATTGTAACAGTTTTAGGAGAATGGGAAATCAGACTATGGCAGTGTTGAAAGGTAGGGCCTTTAAGAGGTGATTGGATCATGACAACTATGCCCTCGTAAATGGATTAATCCATTCATAGAATAATGGGTTAATGGTTTAGTGGGTTGTAGGAGTGGAACTTGTAGCTTTTTAAGGAGAGCAAGCGAGAATATTAAAGAACTTTTGCCATCCTCACCATGTGATAGCCTGCCTCACCACAGTACCCTATAGAGCATTCCCACCCAGAAAAAGGCCCTCACCAGATGTGCCCCCTGGACCTGGGACTTTCTAGCCTCCAAAACTGTAGGAAGTAAATTTTATTTCTTTATAAATTACCCAGTTTCAGGTATTCTGTTATCAGCAACAGAAAGTGAACTAATACATGAAACTTCTAGAAATGAAAAAGGCAATATCAAAAGTAAAAATTTCATCGGATGGGATTAATAAATTAGATACTGCACATCAGTGAACTTGAAGATGGTAATAAAAACTATCCAAAATAGAAGCTTGGAAAGTACAAAAACCCCTCAAAACCAAACAAACAAACTGAACAGAGCACTGTTAACTCAAAGGACTATATCAACTGGTCTAACGTGTAATTACATGTCTCAAGGGAAAAGAGTGTAGAAGTTAAGACAAAAAATATTTAAGGAAATAATGGCCAAAAATGTGCCAAATTTGAAAAAAACTATAAAAAAAAACCCTACACATTTAAGAAAAAACTATTTAAAAAACCTATACATTTAAGCTCAATAAACCACAAGTAAGATATAAATAAGTAAAAGCACATTATGGTACAACATACGATTCTATACCCAACAAAAGTATCTTTCAAAAATAAAGGCAGATTAAAGACTTTTTCAGACAAACAAAAGCTGAAAGAATTCACTACCAGTAGCCTACACTGTAAGATATGTTACAGGAAGCTGTTCAGGGAAAAGGAAAGTCATACCTGATGGAATTGCATTTGTGTGTGTATATATATATTTATGAAGGAATAAAGTGCACCAGAAATGGTAAATATGTGGGTAAGTACTTTAAAACAGTTCCCTAATTTTTCATTTCTTTAAAACAAGGGTTAATAAACTTCTCTTAAAAGATCAGAAAATAAATATTAAAGGCTTACAAACAACATAGTCTCTGTTACAACTACACATCTGTGCTGTTGTGGCATGAAAGTAGCCACAGATAATACAAACAAATGGACATGGCTGTGTGTGAATAAAACCTTTACTTACAAAAACAGGTAGCTGGCCTGTGGAATTTGCTCACCTCTGCAATAAAAGATAATGCATAGTGTCTACACTATGTGTAAAAGTAAAATTTATGACAAAAATAGCACAATGGGAAAAAAAGGGAGGAAAATAAAGTGTACTATTGTAGGATTCTTATAATATATATGAAGGGGTATAATTCAAATAAAGGTAATCTATCATAAGTTCAACATGTATACAAAAACCCCTAAAGCAATCCATGGGTCAAAGAGATATAGCTAATAAGCTAATAAAGGAGACAAAATGTCAACATAAAAAATAATTCAAAAGAAGGCATAAAAAGAGGAAAAAGGAAACAAAGGACAAACAGCAAAGTGACAGATCTAAACCTAATCACATAAATAATTATATTAAAAATAAATGGCTTAAACACTTCAATTAAAAAGCAGAGATTGTCAGCTGGGAGACAAAAGAAAGACTGTACTATAAGCTATCAAAAAGAACACTTCACAGACTTAGCTTGGTTAAAAGCCAGAGGATGGAAAAAGATATACCATGTAAAAATAAATACCATGTAAATAATACTTGAAAGATACAGTGGTTATATTAATATCAAAGAGGACTTTAGAAAAAGGTATATTATCAGGGATAGAAAAAGACGTTCCACAATAATAGAGGGATCATGTCTTCAAGAACACATAATAACCCTAAATGTGTATGTAGTCAATACCAGAGTTTCTACATGCACAAAGCAAAAACTCACAGAACTGAAAAGAGAAAGATATCCACAATTATGGTTGGAGATTTTAACATACGTCTCTAGTACCTGGTAGAACGGGTTGACAGAATATCGTTAAGGCTATAGAAAAACTTAAACATCACTATAACTGACTTGATCTAATTGACTTTAGATAGAATATTCAAAAACTAATACAATCTTACACATTGTTTTCGAGGGCACAAGAACATTCACCAAAAGAAATCATATGCAGGGACATAAAATAAAATTCAATAAGGAATAAAATCATACAGAGTGTGTTCTCTAACTGCAAAGGAATTAAATTAGAAATCATTAACAAAAATAACAGAAAAAATCCTTTAAATATTCAGAAATTAAACAACACACTTCTAAGCAACCCATGGGTCAAAGAAATCACAAAAGAAATTTAAAAATATTTTGAACTGAATTAAAATAGGAATAAAACACATCGATCTGTGACATGCAGCTAATGGAGTGCCTAGAGGGAAATTTAAATCTAAAATGCTAAAATTGGAAAATATTTTATGGATAAAGTGGAATAGGATTACCTTAAAAAGAAATGTTTCACTGCTACTGAAATGTTCTCAACCTGCTGACAGCAAATTGTGGACGAAGACCATTTGCCTTTGTATTACTCATAAAACAGGTACTCAAGAAATGTGAGTGAATGAACGCATTGAGCAGCAACACGGACTATAAACATCTTAACGACAAATAGTTTTATCTTTCTGGTCCTCAAAAATGTTTAGCACCATGCTAAACATCTGGCTGACAGCAAAAGATGTGAAATGAACTATTGCCTGCCCTTGCCCCCACTTCTGTTATGATGAATAATTATAAGGTGAAGGGAATTTTGTTTTACTCACTTATTTCTTCTTGTAGGGTTTCTTGTTTCTGTTTTTGAATTTTTATTTCTTGCTCCAAATCTTCCACCTTGCAGTTTTGATTAGTTAACTTTTGATTTAGTTCTTTCATTAAACGTTCATAATCAGCTATTTCCATATTCATCAATTTGGTTTGCTGGGCATCCTGCACATTTTATAAATAAAAGATTCACATAATACTAGATCAGTTAATTTCATTTGTAAAATTGCTGAAATGATGTCATAGGAATAAACAGGTTCTATTATGCCTTTCTGTAATACAGAAATAGTTTAGAGTAATGAAGAAATGAGAAGTTGAATACTTCCTAGATTTTAATTTCATAAAATATTTTCTTTTTTTTTTTTTTTTTTTTTTTTTTTTTTTGT